TTGCACCGAAAGTACGTACAAGGAAACGAGCTCCAAGAATATATGATGATGGTGGTGTCGTGCCGACATATATGGAAGACAATGTTCTAGACATCTTTTGTCAAATTGGGCGATTGGGTGGGAAATTGAAAGAGGTTTGGTGGTCGAGTGATGAAGACGTCCATAGTGCACACCTTTATGTTCTTCTTAATTGCGAGCATCCATTGATTGCTTATTTTCAAAGGTAAATATATAAACATACACACTTATATATATATATATATATATATATATATATAGTTTTCAATATTAAATATATAACATAACATATATGATTTTACAGTCAATTTGAGACTCAAGTCGAGGAAGCAATACCTGGTATATCGACAACTGAGTTAGAGAAAAGGAAAGATCAACACTTTATCAAGTGGTTGAGGAAACAGATATTTATTTACTTAAATTGTATGCATACATTACCACAAAGTAAGTCTAATGTATTTTATTTTTTGTTGCAGGTTGATTATGACGATCCTAAGTATCACGCATGGTTTCGCGAATTACTTCAAAGTCCAGTTGCAAAGGTCACTACATCGTCGATGTATTTCACCCGAGGCTATACTTTTCATACCTACGACTATGGTAGACACCGGGCACAAGTAATTATGGAATATGTGTGAAAGGCGAAACAGATTTCTACGGGATGTTGCAGGAGATTTATGAAGTTCAATTCCCGAGAATGGGTTTGAAATACGTTATTTTCAAGTGTGAGTGGTACGACCTCGTCGTAAACAGAGGTGTTCGGATTAACAAGAACGGTGTAGTTGATGTCAACGGTGGACAAGGTACACCAAATTCTTTTTTTTTTTTAATATCCAGGTTTCCAATATTACTTAATTTTGACGTATTGATCTTTATTTTTGTAGGTACAACAAGTTCGAGCCTTTCATATTAGCTTCCCAAGCAGATCAAGTTTGCTTCATTCCATACCCTCGGATTACTACCTCGGGAATAAAATGGTTAGTTGTTATCAAAGTTACACCTCGAGGAAGAATAATCGCTGGAGAAGAACCACCATTACAAGAAGAAAACACCAATGAGATCGAGGAAGCTGAAGCAGAAATTGATGACATCCTACTCATTGATCCGCATAATCGTCAATACGAAGATGTTCCTGATCACTCAACGGACGAAGGTGTAGACAACGAGTTTTTAGAAAATGATGATGTTTCAACAGATTACGACAATGTATCCGAATGAATTATGTATGTGTTATAAGTTTGTTTAATCACAAAATCAATTTGGATTATATATGTTTTAATTTTGTTTAATCACAAAATCAATTTGCATTTGGGGTTTGGGGTTTATGTGTAGAAGAGGTTAGGAGTTTGGTTGTAGAAGAGGNACAGATTACGACAATGTATCCGAATGAATTATGTATGTGTTATAAGTTTGTTTAATCACAAAATCAATTTGGATTATATATGTTTTAATTTTGTTTAATCACAAAATCAATTTGCATTTGGGGTTTGGGGTTTATGTGTAGAAGAGGTTAGGAGTTTGGTTGTAGAAGAGGTTATAAGTTAAGGAAATTGTGGTTTGGGTTTGGGGTTTCGAGTTTAGGGATTTATAAAACCTTTCCTCGTAAAGCCCTAGTAATAGAAAAAACGGGCATAGCTATTTCCTCGTAATGTTCTAGTAAGGCGTTACTAGGGCTTTACGAGGAAAAAAACGTGGGCATTGCTATTTCCTCGTAAAGGGTTTTCCTCGTAAAGCCTTTTCCTCGTAAAGCCCTAGTAGTCATTACGAGGACCTTACGAGGAAATAAAAACACGGGCATAGATATTTCCTCGTAAGGTCCTAGTAACGTTACTAGGGCTTTACGAGGAAACAAAATTCCTTATATATACTCGAGCAATCCGGTTTCTCATTTGCTAGTAACCTTCTCTCTAAATACTCTAAAGGTTCTCTCTAATCCGTAGTTAGGTGATTAGATTAGGGAATTTAGATTAGGTGGTTAGTTTAGGGAATTTAGATTAGGTGCTTAGTTTAGGTAATTTAGATTAGGTGGTTAGTTTAGGTAATTAAGATTAGGTTGGTTTACTTTTAGTTACTGTTTTTTTTAATTATACGGGAATTAATGTTTTGATTAATTTTTTTTTAAAAATATAGATGCCTAGACAGAGCAAGCTTGCTAAGGCTGCTGCTAAGAGGGCGTCGACGTCGTCTCTCGAGGGGATAAGCTACGGAGATATGTTTGGGCGTCAGGATGCTCCGGGTTCATCCTCGTCAGCTCCCGATTCATCTTCGTTTCCCGAGACTCAGAGAGCTTCTACGGCGTCTCGGAAACCACCACCTCCTCCTCCTCCTCCTCCACCGGTCGGGGTTCATCCCGATTTGCAGGTGCCGCCGAACGCACCCTTTGCGGTGTACACGGTGGAGGATATTTTGGCCCTTCCAGGCAGAGAAGGGCTCAGAGTTAGATCCTTACCGACGGGACGGCCAAAACATTTTATGGTATGTTTTAATTTTTAAATTTTTTTTTAATTTATTTCTTAATTAACAAAATATTTAGAAATTAATCTAATTAATGATTTATTTTGTGTCTTTCAAGGTTTGGTTGTGACAATAGTGTCGGATCTAGCGTCACAGACTGTATCAAGGGATACTTTCCCGATCCAGCTCCAAACTGGAAGATGACGGCGAGCCACACAAAAAAGACGTGGTTCAAATCGTTCGCTGTAAGTTTAGTTCGTTAATTTATTTTTAATTATTTAAAATTAGTAATATAATTGAACTAATCCGTCTTTTATTTTTTCTGGTTACAGCAAAAGTATCGTTGGTCTATTGGGATTCACCAGCGAATGAAGAAGGAGTTTGAGGCCAAGGCAAGAGCACGATTGCTCGACATAGTCTACAACTGGAAGGGCGACTATGAGGTATAGATTTATAAATTATAATATATATATATATAGTTTTAAAAATATTATATATTGACTTTAATTCTAATTTTTTAAAAAAAATCAGGTGGATGGTTACGAGGCCGGGAAACCCGATTGCCTCACAACCACGGTGTGGGATGGCCTCATCAGCTATTGGGGGTTGCCGGACTCGGTCAGAAACTCCAACACAAACTCCGGGAACCGCATGACCAAGGACGAGCATGGCAACACGAAGGTGCTTCACACCACGGGTCGAAAACCTCACGGGGGAGTTCGTCTAGGCATGGTAAGATGATTTTTAATATCAATTTAATTTTTATTTTATTTGAATATATTCCAAATTAATATTTAATTTTATAAATTAATTTTAGGCTAAGGAGACAGGAGTTCTTCCATCTCTGAAAGACCTTTACGAGAGGACCCACCGGAACAAGGCTGGGCAGTTTGTAGATTCTGCTTCCGAGCGGATCTACAACGAGCTTGTTGCCCGAGTTGACGAACGCCAGACCCAGCTGACTCAGCAGACTAGGTCTCCAGTCATATTATCCACTGTTGACGTGGATAAGATTTACGAGGAGGTAAATAATTTGTTTTACTATTAATTTTTAATATTTTTTAAATTTCTCTTAATGTTATTAATATTTTTATTTTCAGGTCGCCCCTAGGAAAAAGGGGCGTATCATCGGGATTGGCTCGGTTAACGATGTCCCTGCAGCGACATCGTCTTATCATTAGGAGCAGCACGATGTCAATGATCAGCTGCGCTCGGAGTTGCAGGCGACGCAGTCTCATGTGACTTCGCTCACCGAGCATGTCACTTCTCTCACCGATATCCTCGACATTATGGTGGTTGGAAACCCGCAAGTGCAGGAGATGTTGCGTCAGATACGGGAACGTGCAGGGATTCCAAGTACCCAACATCCTCCGCCATCACAGTCACAGCCGGCAACTAACTACGGAGAGGATTTTCCGAGCCAGGACGACGACCAGTTCGTTCAGCAATTTCACGACCAGCATCTGTAGTTTCTTTTATTTTTATTTGTATATTATGAATTTAAAAACTTTTTTATATTATTTAGTTATTTATAAAATATTTTTTTTTTTATTTTTTTATTTATAATTTGATTTTTTATTTTTAAAAAATAAATTAATTATTTGTAATTATTTTTTTTAATAGGAAAAAAAACATTTCCAAGCAAAATCCTCGTAAAGTATTCCAAGTAATGTCCTCGTAAAGGGTTCTAGTAATTTCCTCGTAATATATTACTACGACCTTACGAGGAAATACTTACTACGAGCTTACGAGGAAAGCTTACGAGGACCTTACGAGGAAAATATTACCACGCCTTTACGAGGAAAGCTTTCCTCGTAAATTCGCTATGACCTTACGAGGAAAATGGCTTTACGATGAACGTGTTTCGAGGAAACGCGTTTCCTCGTAATTTCCTAGTAAAAGGCCCATTTACTAGGAAATAACGAGGAAAACCCGTCCTAGTAATGGACGAGTTTTCTTGTAGTGGTTCTTGATAATTTATAAGAACCGAGAAGGTCACGAAAAAAAAAACAAAAAACATGATTAAGTTGACCCATCTTTTATCAAACCCCAATGCGTAAGCAAAAATATGAGGTTGTGAGATTTCGATAAAAAAGAGAATAAACTTAATGGATGAGAGAGAGAGAGAGTCTTCCTTTCTCTCTCTAGAATCTCTCCCACAAGCAGCCATCAAACCCTTATTTCAACAACAATAAGCTCTTTCTCGCGGTGACCGCTGGAGCTTCGTCTCAGGTCACCGGGGGTCTTGTGCCCGATTTAAAGGCTCCACTTCAACTGTTCGCTTCCTCCTCTCGTCTCTCCTCCTTGTTTTGTGTGTCTGGGTTCGATGGGTTTTCTCCTCCGAATCAAACTGAAATTATAGGCGTCTTTGATCTCTCTGGAACACGAACGACGTCTGATTAGTCGAGGTAAGCTTCGGGAGCCTTGGTTCTACCTTTAGTCACAGATTGTGCTTGGATCTGGGTCAGATCTGAGATTCTCCAAAATGCATGACGCACCTCTGCTGTCACTGCTTCTGCCACATCGTCTCACTCCACTCGGTCTCCTCTTCTGTGTAGCTTCAAGGTTGTTGTAGAGCTTCTCCTCTCATTATCAAGTGAAAGGTAGCTGTGAGGCGCACCACCGAGAACCTCTGTTACTTAGTTCAAAAGACAACAACCATGGCACTCGTCGGTAATCGATTGGCTTCTCCTTCTTGCTCCTGAAGCCATTTTACTTGGGTTTTGAGGACATCCTATTGTGAAGGCATCTTCCGCATTAAGGCTGAGCTCTCTCTTGCCAACTTGAGTCGCTTGTTTTTGAGGAGTACTCATACCCCTCCTACGCTCAATACCCCTTGTTCCATAGCTCTGAGAGTTTATTTTAGTGGGCCCTCGTAGTCTCTGCTGCATCTTATGTGTTGCGTGGCCGGTTGGGAGAGCTTCCATTGTCAGCAGCATCGATTTTGGGTTGGTACTTTTATCTTCTGTCGAGTAAGTTTGGGTTTGTTTGGTTGACGTCCTCCTCCAATAGTGTTCCGAGGTGGGAGCCAGACACCTTCGTTGAAACTGCTTGGAGCCACTCTAGTGGGTGCTCGATTGAACTCTCCTTCAGTTTTTTCCTTGTTTCTTCAAGATTGTTCTGAGTTAAGTAAGAAACTGAACTCTTTTTCAGTTTTTTTTCTTTGTTTCTTCAAGATTGTTCCGGTTCAAGTAAGAAGCGTTTTTGATAAGGAGTTTCAAACTGTTTTCTCTTTTTTTATTATGTCATATTAACTTCAAGCTCTCTGTTGATAGAAGTTTGGAATAAAAGGATTTAGGTTCTTTGAGTTTTTCTTTAACTTTTTGTGGTTCTTTAGAATCAAATGGCTGTCTCAGCACTGTGATTTCAGATTTATTTTGTAATCGAACCTTCATTATTAGAAATGACATTTACAATTTAGCATAAAAGAAAAAAAAAATAGGTGTAGACGAAATTGGGTGGAGCCGTGGAGAAAGGTTGCTTGGTCGTGGACTTAATTACTACACGACGAAATCCAACTTTTTGTCCTGCGTTTCCCTTGCCCTTTTATAACTAACTGTACAAACCAAATTTATCATTGTTTATTATGTCCATACTTTTCTTTTTGGTTAGCTTATTAGTTAAAAGAAAATAGTTTTTGTTTAAATAGGGAAAAATTGTTTTTAGATTCCTTTTTCCAAAATGTCTCCATTTTTCTAATGATGTTATTGTTGTATATTTTTGTTAATCGTGTGTTACTAAAAATTATAAACATAACTAACATTAAGGAAATTAGTTATATATGTCAGAGACAACATTTATCGTGAATCAACCGATGAAAAATAATAAATCTTTTTCCCCTAACTTGTTTAACAATTTTTAAAAGTTGAACAACTTTTATCTATTTTATAAATCTCGAACAATATCTGGGGCATCGTCATAAATGTGCCGTGACCACTATGTTTCAATCTTCTAAGAGAAAATTTTGGCCCAAACATTGATCATCAGAAATATTTCTATAATTAAACAGATAATAAATCCTTAGCAGTATGCTTTGAAAGCATTTATGCTACAGAATTAGTAAAAATATACATTTTTAAAATTATCAGAATAATTAGTATAATAATATATTTATTTTATAATAATATTTATATATTTATAATATACATTAATAACATATTTATAATTAAAAATAATTAATATTATTTATTATATGAACTATATGATAGTTTATATAGGAAGTATTATTATTTTAAAAATATTAAATTATTTTTGGATATAAACATAATTTTTATATTATTAAATAAATAAATAAATTATATATAATTTATATATAAGTTATCATTAGTTATTTATTGGCAAAGCGGTAAATGACTCATATATAAAATTATCACAAAAATTAATATATATTTTATAATTTATTTATTAGTATCTAAATTATATAGATATGTTTCTATCTATAATATATAAATATATATTATACTATGTTTGTTATTAATAATAATGAACACTATGTGTAATTATATAAATTATATTTTAAATGTGAAATATTGTTCTTCAAACAATTTAATTAAAATTTGTATTTTTGAAAATATAAATTTCTTTTTTTATAATTAAATATTTTTATATTATTAAATATATATATGATTATTTTAAGTTTTATATATTTTAATTGAAAATGTTCTCCTAAAAGTTTCATATAAAAGTATTGAGCAAAGAGAATTTAGATACCATTAGCATTTGGTAAATGTGTTTCTAAATATTTTTTTTGATAAATGTTAATTGTATAGTAAAGATCATAACTCTTATGGCATTGTTCTGCCAATCGAGACCTAAGTGTTTATTATATGTAAATCAGTATTTACTTTGGATGGTTTTTTCTTGGAAAAGTATGCAAATGTTTTTTTCTCGATAAATAATATTCATTCTATTTTTTTATATTTGATATTTTAATTTTCTATGTAACTTTATTATTAATTAATGTTTGATGGTCAATGATATTATAATTTATATTATATTATTGATTGAATTGTGATTAGATAAATAATTAATGATGTTTTTGTTTAGAAAATTAAAAAAAAAAATATTTTTAATTTATCATATAATCCTAATACGTCAAATATTAAAAACAGAGTGAGTATTTTAAAAGACTAGTCACCAAAAATTTTTAGACAATTGAGAACACAAATATGAGCTTCGTCAACTATTAGAAAGATTACTATATGACAATTTAAACATTATATATCACCGAAGTCAATAAATTATAAATATATGTGGATATTTTATATTTTTATCCTGATAATAAATGTCCAAATTTGGAAGAAGAAAAACGACAAGGTATGGACAAAACTAAACTTTTGGGTCTGGTCCTCCAGATTCCTCATGTGCGGTTTTGTGCTTCTTGTCTTCTTATTATAACCTAAATTGTCTCTGAACCAATCTAAACGTCATACACATTTGAGTAATACAATACTCCGACCTTGCACTTTTTGGCTTCAA